GACTTAAGCTATAGCTTCACGGTTTAATTTGTTGCTTGGGTATTATGGGAATGAATTCAATGCTAATTAAAAAGGGACTAATAATTTGGGAGAATATTAGGACACTTTAAAAATAGTTGTTACTATATTGATGAAAGAGTCAACTCAAAGGGTAAAAACTAGCAACCTATAAGGTGAATCCTAAAGCCCAATGCTTCAAGTGATTGTGTTTTCATCATCATATTTATTGATTTATTTTTATTATATTTTCATCAAATTATCCATTTTATCTATTTTTCTCAAACTATTATTTATTTAAATTAGTAACAGTGCAACTTCCCTGTAGGTTCGACACTTGAAATAATCTGGGTAATTTATTACTGTGATCTCGTATACTTCTGAAAGTGATCAACTATGATCATGCGTGCTACATACCATTTACATTCATGCTTGAGTTCATAAATGTCATTGGTTATGAAAATTCCCACTTTACTTGCTCATATTTTATACTCTTACATGTGCTTAAATTTATGTTTATTGGTTATTGAGATTTTATATCTCATCCTCATTGTTTAATATTTTTAAGGGAGACACTGAGTAAGGGCAAGGGGGTAGCACTAGAAGCTAGAGACCCTTAACTCTTATTGTAATGTCTCTTACTATTTACATGTGTAATTGAATACTTTATTGCCAACTTAGGGGTATTATGTTTGTTAAACTATTCAGTCATTTGCATTATAGCTTGATCACTAATTTAGGTGGTTTTGGTGTGTCTTCGCTCACATGAGGGTTAAACCATAGAATGATCTTTTGTAGAGTTAAGTTAATAATACTAGTGGTGTGTTGATAGTTGTTTAGATAGTTTTAAAATATTGAATCTAGTTATGGCATGTTTTAGAAGTTTTAATAGTGGATCCATCTTGATTTATGCTATTGGATGGTGATTTGCGAATGCATGACAATTTGATGCTTATAAACTTGTTAAGCATGTCTCTTTATGATCAAGGAGTATGATTGTATGTCTTTGTGGGGCTAATGGCTTAAGGATGGGTTGTAGACACTTGGTTGATAATTTATGAGTGTTAAATGAGTAGTTTCTAGCCCCAAGTGTCCAAATTTTCCATAGTATATCAAATTATTGTGAGACTAAGGCTATTAGCTATTTTAATTAATTATCCATGTGTGGATGTTTGGATCACTTCAATCAAAGGTCTAAGTTGAAAGTTATGCATATCAGAATTTAGATCCTGAAAACTATCATGATAGTTTTACTATCATGGCAAGTACGCCACGATGAAAAGCATTATGAGGCGCATGAGGCATGACATAAAGATAGTTAGCCAAGGTAGATGGTGATGTTAGTGGCAACAGATGCTCTCTATACAACAAGCCGCTACGAACATGTTGTTAGCCATGTTGGATCACTCTGTTTTAACTAAAGGACTCTTTTGACATCATTTCAACTTGTTTTCAATATATTCTAAACTTTCTCATGCTTCCTAAACTTGTGTTTACTCTGATTTGAAATCATTAAGTATGTACTAAGTGTAACATCCTAAATTTTTATCCCTATATTAAGTTAAATTAACTAAGGGTAATTAAGAGTATTAAACAAAGTAAGAATGGAATAGGAGTAATGTAGACCAAGTTTGTGGTTTAAGAGTGATTTTGAGAGAGAATTTGAGCTTTGTCCATAACCATCCATGGTTGTGACCTAATAGGAGATTACCCTCTGCAGTCGAGCATCCTTAGAAAACAAGCGTGCTCTCTGTTCAAAACCATCTGTGATTGAGTCCTTCACTGGAGATAACCATTCATAGTTGTGGACAAAGGAGGCTTTGACCACAATGATCATGAATTATAACATGGACAACTGTCCGTAGTCAAAATATCATGATCATGATTTAAGTGTCCGAAAACACAAATAAATAGAGAGAGAGAGAGAGGATCAGAGGAGCAATGTGAAGCTTTGCTAAGGCATGAGATTTTTGGGTAGTTTTGGGGCATTTTTTAGCTTGTAATTAGAGAGAGAGAGAAAGGATCAAAGGAGCAATGTGGAGCTTTGCTAAAGCATGAGATTTTTGGCAGTTTTGGGGATTTTTGAGCTTGTAATCATTAGAGTTAAGTTTCCTAGCCTTTATTTTTCCTTCTAACTCTATTTGATATTAGGGTTTCTAAGTTCCTCTTTAATTTGGTCTTTTGGTTGATTTTTGAGTTATGAGATATTTATAGCTGAATTAATAGGGTTAAATGAAGTTGTTGGAAGTTAATTTTTGCTCTAGAATAATAGGTATTGGTGGTTTGGCCATTAAATTCAAATTTATGTGATTTAGACAAACCCTATGCTCTAAAAGATGATTTTGGAATTTTGGGTGTTATATTAGCTATTCATTAAGCTATTGGGAGCTAAATGAAAGTCAATGAACTCATTGGATGTGAGATTATACTTGTAGCTAGGAAAATTGGCTATTAAGGTGTGATATTCAAAGTTGGAAGTGTTAATTTTGATGATTGTTAGTGATGGTGGTTAATGTTATGTGTAGATTAACTTCATGAAGCACCAGAGAGCTTCAGTTTAGCTTGAAAGCATGTGAGTTCTTGGGGGTAACCTTTAAGTCCTCAAAGATTTAAGGTAACAAAGAGAAATCTATTTCATGTTATTTCTTATTAAGTAATTGTAGATGTTTATGAGCTTGGAATTATGTTTTATGTAGTTATAGATATATGAAATTATTTATTGTTTCTGTTTGAAAATATGTAAGTGGGACTTGTTTATTAATTTGATCTTTGCAACACCCCAGTGTTCGAAAAGGGGTAATCCATGGTCCAAGTTGAGTATGGGACCTTAGCCTAGTTACCCTCATAATTAGTGAGCTTGGACTAGCCCAATCGCATGGATTTAGCTCCTGTATATTTGTAGTTCATGGATTTAGCCGGCAGTGATGGAGGTTTAGTGAGTTATGATGATCATGCATTGCACTAATTTGTATTAAATGATAATGATTTGTATTATAACTGCCCACTTTGCATGCCTATTGTTATTCGACTTGCATGAGCATATTATAGACTACCTTGATTAATGATCAGTTGTACTCACCCCTTATTTAACATTTTATAAGCATTCATTCAGGACTAGACAAAGGAAAAACCTTCGAGGCATATGATATTTTATTCCTACTATAATGCCTCAGTTTACTTTTTGAATTATGTGTAATTAGCTTGATAATGCCAATTAGAAGCATTATTTTGATTACTTGCATCACTGCATACTGTTTATTATCTTGTATTTTGTGCCCTAAGTTATGTTGTTGGGATGTAAATATCTAAATAGGATTTAAATACTGGTGCAAGTATGTTGTTAATTATTTTGATGGTTGTATATGATTATGTTGTGGATTTTATGTAGATTACCTTCCCCTCTATTTTTTTTATGATATTGGGGTTGAGGATTGAAATTTGTGAGATATAGTGTATATTTTTGTTTGGTGTATTAAACAGGTTGTCCTAAGTGTTTTAGGCTTGGTCTAGATGGTGTTATAAGCTATGGGCATTTTTTGTTAGGTTTGAACACCTTGGTTGTTTTATAGTGTGAAAAAGGGAATTGTGTTTCGGAGTGTTCATCTTTGTGATGTGTTGGTATTTTAAAATGAGACCAATGCCAAGGGATGGATCTTTGAATAATTTTTCTAAGGATACTTGGATCATCTCAAATGGACGTCGAATAATGAATAAGGAAATGCAGAAGCTTGCCCCTGAGATTGGTTTAGGACAATTCTTGCCTGTCACAATTTGTACAATATGCCATGGCATGTGGCACCTATTTCATGGCACACGATATAGAGGAGGTCAAGCCGTGACAGAATTAGTGATAGTCACTGCAAACTCTCCATATAATGTTGTAATGACATTTTTATCCTTTTTCCAAATTGATTTTAATCGATTTGGCATTATTCAACGCTTCCAAGTGCTTTCCAGCTCTGATTTATACTTATTTAGAGTTTGTTATTATTTGATTTAATCGTTATGTTTTGAAATTACTATCATACTACAAAGCTAAAGTATAATTAGGAGGAGTTAAGTGTAGGGCGAACTTGGAGATTTTACACTAAGTGGTTTAAATTGGAGATATTACAGATCCAACCACATGCCCCTTACGCTCAATTATGATCACTATACTGGTCAAGCAAATGAAATAAATGCTAATGGAAGAGAACATGGGAGATAAGCCGGGAAAATTTCTAGAAGGATGGAGAAGCAAGGTTTTTTAGTTGGGATGGGTGATTCTTTTGTGGAATTTTGTTTTTTGTTTTTGGAAAAATTTCTTATGTGGCATCCACTGTATGTAAGGAAAATAGTCAACCCATCAGTAATATTTAACGGTCAAATTTAAGCCCAATTAATGACAAGGACAACAATGATCAGTATTGAATGTTCAGGGGAAAGGATGGACTAAAATGGAGTTTAGGATACTAGGTGTCCTTAAAAGTATAGTTTAGGGGTAAAAATGAACATTAACCCTAAAATAAAATAAGTTGCAGTTTAACAGTTATTAGATAAATTTAATTCCTCTTAGGTACTTTGAAGAGAGAATATATAAATTTAATAACCTTCGAAGGAAGACATACCTTTTGGTGAATCAATCGTTCCTGCCATATGTATCACACAAACAATAGTAATTAAAGTGAGAAGATGAAAAATTGTACCTAACCAAATTATATTCAAACACAGTATATGAAAAATCTTCCCAAAAATTTATCCAATGAATTAACAATTCACAGCCAAAAAGAAAAATGAGGTGCATGTATTGGGTTTAAGAATTACTGAAAGATAAAGGGATGCACTAATTTCATTGGCAAAAAGAATGAAGTGCATTTTTCTCCTATATATCCTTCAATGTTTTATTATAACACCTCGGTCATATAAACAGAACACATGATTCTCTTTAAGAGTTACAATTTTCCACACACACACACAAAGATGAATGTTTTTGAAAGGAAATTTTAAATATTTTAACAATGGTACATTTTTGTGTATAATTAAAATTTGAAATAAATTTAAATTCAAAAATAAAAATCAGAACAAAGAATATATTACTTTTTTAAAAAAATTAAATCAAAACATATGCAAACATACATAACCTAATTTTCTTTTTTAAACTGCCTGACAAGAGATGTCTATTGGCAAGGGAATAGATATGGGATAGACAATATTTAACAAGTGAGTACACTGGGTAGGTTTAATATAAATAATGATGATTTATTTATGGGAAGGGATAATGGGATGAAAACTATTTAACATGTGAAACTTGGTTAGAAAGAAATCTGCAAATGCAAATAATTGAGATATTGGGTGGGACCTATAGGATTACATGGATCGCAACACATTTATATATACAGTACGTGGCTTTATAGATGGAAAAATGACAATTAAGGATCCCCTAAAGTCGTTAATTTTAATTAAGGACCATCAATATTGAAATTTCAATTAAGGACCAAACATACATAACTTTATAAAATTGCCTTCTACTAAACACTACGATGTACATAACATTGCTGAAATTACTATCATGGCATGAGAATGTTATTAACATCAGTGGTCAAAATAAGAAACTATACTTGAGAATAAATTGTTTTCCAATATGAAAGAAACTCATATCAGAAACATTCCATTGACGCTTATGAATATACAAAAGAGGTTTGAGAATTTACTAATTTCACTTATGAATATGAACCCAATGACTAGCTTGTCAAATTTTATGCTTATTTATATATAGTTATCACTTGAAAAATAAAAAAATGACATTGTTGAAAATCACTATTGTGGCATAGGAATATTGTTAATCTCAATTCAGAAACATGAAACTACACTTAGGAATAAATTGTTTTTGAATATGAAAGAAACTAAATTTTGAAATGTTCTATGGTTACTTATGAATATACGAAAGTGACTTAAAAATTTACTAATTTCATTCAGTGATTTTTTTTCTTGAGGGACATGGAAGACAATTCAGATTTTTTAAATTTCAAAATCCAAATAAGGACCATAATCCTTAATTGAGAATTTAATATTTTATGGTCATCAATTAAAATTAATGATCTTAGAGGGGTCCTTAATTGTCATTTTTCCTTTATAGATTTACTAGTTACTCTATCGTCCTCAAATATAAAATATTATTGTGTATTATTTTTATTTTTATTTACAAGTAAAACTATAAATTTAAAAAAAATTTATGAATTTTTTCTCAAATTGTCCCTTATCAAATCAATATTTATGTTTACTATACATAATTAATTTAATTAATTATGGGATAATTTAGTCAAGTTTTTTTAAATTTCAAGCATAATTATTATAATTAATTTTCTAAAACTATGTGAATAAATTATTTTTTATATTTGAAAGTAGAAGGAATATATAGGTAGAGTGATGTGTACTCACTCTAAACCATAATATATATAGGGCATATGTAAATTCACGGTTCTCAAAAAATATTAGTTGAAACTTTAATCCTTTAAAAAAGTTTACATCTTTTTAACTATACATTCATTAAATACTTTATATAAGAGTCTTGATAATGATAATTAAAATTTTTCAATACAACATTTTTTTCAAAAAAGAATAATAAATAAAATAGGGATATTTGGAAAAAAATTATAAAAATGACCTAATATCCTATATTTGAACAAAGCAAGATCTCTAGAATATGCACTATATGAGAGAATAAATTACAAGAATATATATAGGATGTTTTGAAATCTATATAAAATTATTCTCTATCTAACCTTCGCTGATATATATATATATATATATATAGAGTGAGCAAGATGTGTTTGAAGGTGGAGGATCTGGATTAATTTCTCTGTTTTTCCTTTTTTTTCATTATCATAAGAAAGAATAATAAAGAAACACATGTGATAAGACTCATATTTTACACACTTTATCCATTCATTTAGGATCCATGTTACATGTTTTATCCCCCATTTTGGTGCATTCATGGTGTCAAAAGTAAGAAAATTGCCTAAGGGGCAAAATTGTGTATTAGGGGTATTTTGGTCCAAAATTGCACTTTTTATGAAAAATTGGATTAATGTTGCGTTTCATGTGTTTTATGCCCAAAGAATGAATATAAAATTATTTTTTAAAAATTCAATTTGGTTTGAGAGTTATAAAATAAAAATCACATTTCAGGGTTGTTGACTTTGTTAACTGAATTAAGGTTTTACATGCATGCATGATTTGTTACTTCATTAATATTCTTCCATGCTAGTTAATTAATTCCATGTGCCTGAATTTATTGATTAGGTCACATTAATATTTGATTTTGATTTTATGTACATTTTGTGACTTAGGTAGCACATGTTGACTTGGACATTTTGTGACTGGTCAAGGATCATGAAAGAGGGCAAAAAAGGAAAAATGTGGCATCATTTTGGGGCTGAAAAGGGAGAGAATAATCAGATCATTTGATTAAATAAATGAGAATATTTTCATTTAGGATATTCCTTTTGAGCTAATGAGAGAAAGTCACCTTTATATGCATGTGGGAAGTATGTGTCTCACCCTAGCCTTTTCTTTTCCTTTTTGTTTTATTCTTCCCTCATTTTGCAGCTGGAATACACACCCCTTTCAGTATTCTTTCACCCAAGAAACTTAACCCTAGCCTCCACACACAATCTCTCACCACCTCCTTCATTTTCATTTACATTCTCTCTCTTGTTCTTCATTGTTCTTCATTTTCTCTCATTTTTCCAGCCATCGTAGCTCCCTTCTCTCCTCCATTTCTCTTCATCTAACCATTGGATCATCACCAAATCATTTCGATCTTCTCCTCTCACTTCCCTCTACACATCCCTACCACTTGATCATCCATTTCATGCTTCATTCTCTACTTGGTTCCATGAAGGAGTTTGGCCATTTTGCTATTTCCATGGAGGACTTGAAGAACCTTGAAGGCTAAATCATTTTGGGTGCTTGGAGGAGGATGGAAGCTCAATGAACCACTTAGGTCTTCACTTTTGCAACCCTTTTGTTTTTCTCTTAAATTTTCTCCATTAATAGACTTGTAAGAGCATAATTTTGGATTGCTATGTCTTAGCTTTACAACCATAATCTTGGTTGATATTTTTGTATGGAGATTAGTTTGATTAATGTCAAATTTTATCTTGTTTATTTAGCTATATTTTTCAGCCACTCTTGGATTTTTTTATAATCTTGAATGTTCTTAAGTGTTTTGACCTTGCGTATGCTTCATCATAATCTTGAGGAGTGTTTGTTGGGCTTGCTTGTGATCTACCATAATTTTAGGATTCATTTGGGTTGTAAGGGGCTGAACATGCTTGCTGAAATTTGCCATTAATCATGTAACTTGGGCTTAAAACTAAATTAGGGAGTTGAATTGTGCTCTAAAATCCTAGGCTTAATTAGGGTCCTCAGTGAAGTTAAGTTTCTAGAGAGAATTATCCTAGTGGCTTCATAATTTGGTTAGGAAGAGAAGAATTAAGGGTGACTAATTCACATTTCATAAGTGGTTAGGATTTGAGCATTAATCTAAATCCAATACCTTATTCCATCCCATTTTCACAGACTCATTAGCTTAGGCTTTTAGGTTTTAATTAGGTTAATTAGTATTTAATTTAAATCAATTAAAATCTTGAGATTTTTATTTTAATTTAATTGCATTAAGAAATTCTAGATTTAATCTTTAACACCTCTTTGGGAGATGACCTAAGTTGCCACCATGCTATATAGTTAGTTAATCGAGTCTAAATTGCTAAGTGTGCGACCGCTTGGTTCAACATGCAATTCTCTCAAGGAGTTTTAATTTCTAAAACAATTTCAATTCTTAAAAAAGATGTGTGTCTGTGTGTTCTCAAATGAAAATTATTAATACGTTTGAACAATGGCAGTTTGAATTTTTAATTTAAATATGAGATGATTCAAAAATAATAATCAGATTAAAAATAAGATACTAATGTTTTGATACACTCATACACACAAGCTTTATTTTTGGAAGAGTGGCATTAAAATCCCAAAACCATGAAGTTATGATAATTAGATTCTTAACAAAATTTTCAGAAAAATCAGTTGTAAATATTGATTCAAATAATCACAAATTTAGGAATTCTATACTACAAATAAAAAATTTTAAATGCATCTTTCAATTTACAGTTAGGATTCATATTTGCAACTCATTTTTTTAGAAAATTTTGTCAAGAACTTAACTCTCATAAATTCTTAATTTTGAAATTTTATTATCATTCTCACTTTATTCACTCCTCCTTAAGGAGGGGCTTGGCCATATAAGCAGGTATACTATACAAGCTAGAGAGCTAAACTTTTTAGGAGAGAATAATAGCTCTATGACAAAGTGGTATCAAAGCTGCACTTGAGTTTACCCCGTCGATGAACCCTTCTAGCAAGCCACCCGTGATAAGGGTGTCATAAATTAGCTAAAAAAACTGTCACATCCCACATTGGAGGGACTTGGGGAAGATTTTGATCATATAAGCAAGTGTGTTGCACACCTCACTAAGCTATCTTTTTGAGAAGAGAGTAATTGCCCTGTGGCTAAGGTCAATGCATTAGATGGGAGCAAAATTATTTAACATGTGAGTACACTTTGCTAGATATTCTCTCCTATCCTTATCATAAGTTACTTATAACTAATTCATACTAATCAAGAAAAATTAGTTACATCATTAAAATTGTAAAAATTTCTTTGATTTCCATTTTTACAACTTATAAATACTATAGATTTTAAAATAAAATAATTTTCCAGTATACCTCTATTTAAATGAACTTTTTTCAATTTGCATTACATTACCTATCATATTAATAAATTTAAATAGGAGTAATATTAGAATAGCTTGATTAATACCCATCAAGTGTCTTATATTAAGTATAAAAAAAAAAAATTGGAAGGTGCCCTGTAACAAGGATTGGAAGGGGTGCATAACTAAATTCAAAACTTATTGATAATAATATGTTTATTAGGCATAGGCAGGCAGGCATGCATGCATATATATCAAGATGGATATAGATTAAAAGTTTTATATAGTTATTTAGCATTAATTAAATCAACATCTATAGATTCGCTCATCATAAATAGGTCATTTTTAAGATCTATATAAAACTATTTTATTTACAAACGTACCTTGTGAGGAAGATGTGTTGGAAGATGGAGGAGCAGGAGGAGGTGAAGATAGTGAATCAATAACTGCAGTATCATAGAAGCGATAATTCTCATATCTAATATTGCAACTCAGTTTGACAACCCTTCCACCAATCCTGTTGTTACAGAAGTAGGGGATGCTTGAGATCGACTTCTCCAAGCAGTCATCGCAATCTTGCTCAGACAAATCAGGCATACACTGAGCAAGTCCATATATTGTTTGAAACAAAGTTGTTGTCGTGTTCGCCGCGAACTTCAAACGAGTGTTGCCAGCCGCCGCCTCACTTCTCAACCCTCTCATCAGACTATCAAGGGCCTCACTGTACTTGATGTCTGTCGCGTTTTCATTGTTACAAATGGCGTAGATAAAAGAATCTGGATCTTGGTTAATCCCAAACATGGAACGATTAGTGTATCTTAGAATGCATCCATCATTGTATCCATATGCTTCTTTCTGATTTGGACATAACCTTCGCAGAAGGCTTGTGGCGTTGTTGAGGCAACTACGGCAAGAGTCTGCCTTGATATCTGCTCTACACAGTCCAAGGGCATTGACTTTGTCAGGGTTTTGGCCTTGAGAGGAAGTGTAGTAGCCATAGTCAATTTTGGTGTCGGAAGTGAAATTAGAAAGGAGGAGATTGAGGTTGGATTGGTAGGCACTTGTGTTAGTGTAATTACCAGCTACATTGTAACACAGATGATATAGGAAGTCTTGCTGAGCCGTGAGAATGATAAAAAGAGAAAGGAAAGAAAGCAGAGCAATTGATGATGATGAGATAACAGCAGTGATTGTCTGCATTATGAAATGAATAATTTTGACAGAAAGACACGAACAATCCAGAAAGGCTTTGTAACAACCCACGGCATCTTCGGCTTCTTTCTTATATTACTCGAGTCAACAAGTCAATCCAATCAAAGGATAAAAACGCGTTGTCTTGAAATATTGACTGAGAAAACGACGTATGTGGAATAAAATAATTTTGACAGATGCGATTTGGATTTTGGAAGTAATAATTACGTTGTTTTGCATGAGTTCGGTTCCAATGCTCCATCACGGTCCAGATTTCATGAAATTTATTTTTGAGAAAATTGAAAAAAAGAATCAGGTTGGAACAAAAATTAGTCCCAGGACCAAATTCTAATGAAGGACCAAGCTTTTTTTTTTTTTTTATTCATTTTACAATTTCTGCTCGGACTAAAATGCCCTGCCATAACAAAATAAATTGAAATTGAAGACCACTTTGTGCTTGGTTTCTTCGCACGAGTTGAATGGGAGAAGATGGCAAGGGGCATTTTCAAGGGACCATCAACGGCAGTGTGAGCTGTGAGCAATGAGTTCTGAGAAAGACAGCCCTATCTCTTTATATGATGCCCTAATCGGATGAGTTTCGAGGTTCTCAAGAGGTCCAACGGTGGAGCAAATGGCGGCGAAAGTGTAACACACCGATGGCAAGAATGAGCCTCGCTATTTCTTTGCTTGCCCAGTTGGAGGGGTATGCTACGTGAATGATTTCCATTGGTTTCCCAATCTGGTGCACAATGTCTTTATGGTCACTAACTTCTACCTGATTAAAAGAATATGTTTTCAAACAGAACCATGTAGCTTGCAATTACGACCTGCGTGTGAGGATGCCTTGTCCAATGGGTTGGTTATGTATGCTTGTGTTCTTGTATTTGACTCTTAACTTAAAAATCCCCCTACCTATGCCTTTTTTTTGGTGTAAGTATGATGTACTAAATTTTTGTAATGAGTCCATGACCTCTTTCTTTTTCCATCTTTTGATGCTATCATCCACTACTACAGAAAAGTGTATAATTAATGCCCTATAATTGATGCTTATTTGAAAAAAAAGACAAATAAAAAAGGCAAAGAATATTTGACAGTTGTTACGAAACAAGCGTTAATTATTCAAACAGATACTTGATGGTTATCTTATAATAACCGTCAAGTATATATATTTGAAGTTTTTTAAAAATAACCGTAAAAAAAGGTAAAATTTACATGTCGGTCTTCAATAAACAAATGTTAAATTAATAATTTAAAAAAAATAAATTTGTTCACATACTTGACTCTTGTTTTGAAATAACCGTCAAGTATGTTCAGTATATACTTGACGGTTATTTCAAAAAAAGCATCAAGTATGTAATACTTGACAGTTACTTTGAAATAACCGTCAAGTATTGTCATTTAAATTCTCCTCCAGATTTCTTTTTTGCTCTCCATTTCTACAAATCGTTCATCTTCAAAAACAAACCCAGAGCCATCAAAACCCATTTTTCGTTACTCCAACTGCCAAATAACACATTTTTGGTCTTGATTCTTGAGGGGTTTTGGATTCTCGACCTCCATAAGTCTCGTGGGTGCTTATTAGTGTGGATTCTTGGTCTCCATCATTCTTCAACACACTCGCCTCTCTGTTTTTCTGCACAGTCGACGTTCCCTCTTCTTATTAAGGTTGGTTCTTGCTTTCCCAATCATTAATCTTCATTTTGAATGTATGGGTTGTTGATTTTAATTTTCATATACAATAAATAGTTTCTGTGTTAATTATTTTGATCTGCATTATTGTTCTTGTTAGTGGGTGTTTGAACTTTTAAGTTTTGGGTGCTTAGTTATTGAATTAATGGATCATCCAATTGTTTTGCTAGTATGAGGAGATTCATTAAGCATATGAAAATAGTATACCACTTAATTACCTTGTTTCCTCTACTGGTACACACATCTTTTTAAGTTTTGGGTGTTTGTTCTGTAATTGAATGATTAATTTAGATTTATATTCCTTAAGTTGTCAATTTTCACATTACTAGTTTTTCAATTGATTGAAAATTAGCTTATGTAAAAATATTTTTGACATTTTAAATTGATATTTATATAGTGTTTGATGTGGTTTATATGATTTTAATTAAAATTGGGCTTCTTATTACTATTGTTATTATTGTTGTTGGATCATATATAGTCTCATTATGGATAACTTGATTTTTCTAAAGGCATAAAGACCTAGTAATACTTATTTTAAGCCGTTATATATACTATCAATTTTTTAGATTATTCTTGAATATAAGTTTATGTGATTGTTGTTGTGGATACTATTGTTATTGTCATTTAGATTAATAGAGAGAGGGGATAAAACTCAGGAAACTCTCTTTTTTAAGTCGTTATGCTGCCGAAATTATTTCAATAGCTAGCATTAAAATGTAATTATTAGTTTTAAACAAGATTAAAGAGGGAATGTGCAAACATGTGGTTAGTGACTTATTGACTGATTGATCTTTGTATCTAACTCTCCCACTATCTAAGAGTAGTTAAAGTCACTAATCATATTTTCCTCTTAATCTTTCTAGGAATTATGGATAAGGAATGGATGTCTGCCAATCGTTTATCCAAGGAATATTGGGATGGGGTGGCAGATTTTGTTAAGCTTACAGTTAAGCATGCGGAGGACCCTACTAGGATTGTTTGCCCATGTTTAAAGTGCGGTCTTGTAAAGCGAGTTAGTCCAGATACTTGTGAAGAACACTTAGTGATTAACAGGATGGATCAAAGTTACAAGTGTTGGACAATGCATGGTGAGACAAGAGATGATATTGGTTGTAGCCAGAAGCATAGTGAAAGCTATGCATCATCTCTTGATGATTTCGATACATGCACACTTGAGGAAGATTGTCTTGAACATATGGCCAAAGAAGTTGAAGAGGACCTCAAGGATTGTCCAGAAATGTTTAAAAAGTTAAAAAGTGATGCGGAGACACCATTGTATGCTGGTTGTAGTGCATCAAAGTTGTCAGCAGTATTAAAATTGTACAATATAAAGGCAAAACATGGATGGAGTGATGCGAGCTTCACTGAGTTGCTTGGGTATTTGAAAGTAGAATTACTTCCTAAGAAAAATGAGCTTCCTTGTCGAACATATGATGTAAAACAAGTATTGCGATCAATTAGCATGAGTTATGAAAAGATACACGCATGCCCTAATGATTGCCTTTTATTTTGGAATGAATATGCGTCGTTAACCGAGTGTTTGAAGTGTAATGCCTCAAGCTACAAGCAGAATGGATCAAGTTCCGCGAAGGCACTATGGTATTTTCCAATCGTGCCTAGATTTAGATGCATGTATAATAGTATAGAAGTTGCGAAAAGCTTAACATGGCATGCGGATGAAAGGATAAAAGACGGCATGCTTCGTCACCCTACTGATTCTCCACAATAGAGAAAGATTGATTATGAGTACCCTGAATTCAGGGAAGAGAGTAGGAATCTACGCCTTGCATTGTCTATTGACAAGATGAATCCTCATAGGCTTTAAAGTAGTAGCCACAGCACATGGCCAGTCATTTTGGTGATTTATAACCATCCTTCGTGGCTTTGCATGAAACGCAAGTATATGATATTGTCCATGCTAATTGTGGGACTCAAGCAACCTGGGAATGCCATAGACATATATTTGGCTCCTCTAATTGATGACTTGAAGATCATGTGGGAGTCAGGTATAGAGGTATATGATGGGTATAGAGAAGAAAGATTTAATTTAAGTGCTATGCTCTTTGGTACAATCAATGACTTTCCTGCTTATGATAATTTGTTCGGGTATAGTATTAAAGGGCAACTTGGATGCCTTATTTGCGAAGAGGGAACACATTCTATGAGGTTTAAACATAGGATGAAGAATGTTTACCTCAAGCAGCGTAGGTTTTTCACCAAGAACATCATTATCGGTGGTTGAGAAAAGTGTTCAATGAAATCCAAAACAAGGTAAGTCATCTTTGCCATTAACTAGTGATGAGCTATTTGAGAAGATTAAGGATTTGGATATTGAATTCGACAAACCATTTGCAAGGCACCTTAGGACAAGCAGATAGAATAAGAGATCTATTTTCTTTGAACTCCCTTATTGGACCACCTTGGATGTTTGGCATTTTCTTGATGTCATACATATTGAGAAAAATGTCTGTGAGAGTCTTATTGGGACTTTATTCCAAGTGTTAGGAAAAACAAAGATGGCGTAAAAGTAAGGTTGGACATAGTTTCTTTAGGAATAAGAGAAGAATTGGCACCCTAAGATAAGGGGAACCGTACCTTTCTCCCTCCGACAGCTCATACGCTATCTGAGAAAGAGAAAACTACATTTTATGAGTTCCTCAATGTAGTTAAAGTTCCTAAGGGCTACTCTTCAAACATAAAAAATATTGTATTAATGAAAGATTTGAAGTTGAAGGGCTTAAAGTCTCATGATTGCCATGTTTTAATGGAGGATTTCATTCCGGTTACTATACGTATAATTTTACCCCCAAATACGAGGGACGATCACTAAGTTATGTTTGCTTTTCAAGTCCATTTGCAGTAAAGTGATTAACCCACATAAGTTGCCAAGGTTGCAAACTCGAATTGTATTAACACTGTGTGAGCTTGAGATGTATTTTCCACCAGCATTCTTTGATATTATGATCCACCTAACTGTTCACTTGGTTAGGGAGGTTCAAATGTGTGAGCCTTCTTATTTAAGATGGATGTATCCTATTAAGCATTATATGAAGATTTTGAAAGGCTATATGAAAAATCAAAGTCGATCGGAGGGTTGCATTGTTGAACAGTATATTTGTGAAGAGGCTGTTGACTTTTGTACCGAGTACCTGAGTCATATTAGCTATATTGGGCTTCCAAAGTCTCAACATATGGGTAGAATAGGTGGAGAGGGGATCATGGGAAATAAAGTTATTACTATCTCAAGTGTATAGTGGGAGCAAGCCCACCTATATATGTTGCACAACATTGAAGAGGTTAAAGAGTATGTAGACAAGTATATGGCTGAACTTAGGATGGATAATCTCAA